TTTGAGCACAAGAAATTTTATTTAAAACTGTGTACATTTTTGAGCTTATGGAAAAAAAAGAAAGAAAGAAAGAAAAAGAAAGAAAAGAAAGAAAGAGGAAGAAAAAAAAAAAAACAATGAGCTCATACAATTCGAAAATTATGTAATAGTTTCCTTATAGTGAATAGTACTGCAGTTTCCTTCTGACCAGAGTTAGTCAACAAATAGGAGTACTAAATGTAGCATTTATACATATCTATTTGAAACGACAATGTGTCAGTTACCTTGCAAAACAGTGCCTTTTTTTTGTCAGAAAATCACCATTAATTTTTTCAGTAAAAAATGTATTTGGTGGAAATAATGCATGACTTAGCTACAGTTAGTAGATATGAACTGGACGATCATTTTGCAACAAGAATTATTAAAATCGTGTAATTACACACAAAGTTAACCTTACTATCATGCGTGAAAATATGATTTTCAGAAAATAGCAGTTTTTGTCATTCATCTTCATTACTCCATAAAGGTCATACCAATGATCACCAAATGTGAATATCTACTTAGACAACTCCTTGGCCTTTAATATGAGTCCTGTGGTAGAGGGTCAGGCCTTGCTCAGGTAATTTTAGGTCATCTTTATGTAAAGGTTAGGTTAGGTTAGGGGTGAGTGTTCTCTGAAAAGTATACTTTCAGATGTCAAGGCTCCTGGTTCCCTGTCATTTACATATCATAGTACATCATAAATCATAGATTATGCATTTCTTATATATAAATGACATATTGCCAGGTTTTCAACAGGTTGAAAACAACATGTATACTCCCGACAACTTTATCAAGTACACTGTTCTCCCGTCCTTGCTGCTGCTGCCTGCCTGCTGAACGCAGCCTGAACTATCGTACAACAGTATCATACCAAAGAAATTTGCAAAAACAGTCCAAAAATGCTAAAAATAAAAGAAAAACAAAGCATGAAGCAAAAAGTGCTGTGACAACAGTCTGTTTAGTGCTCATGTGCAGGAACTTGTGCAGCTGTGACAGCGTGAGGGCATTTAAATACTCCAGACATTTAAACCGCGGAAAGGAGTACGTTATGCATCTGGGAACCGCCGCCTGGGGTGAATCACATGCTCATGTATCCACACACAAAGTTTGAAAAAATCATAATTTGAGACCCGTACCGACGACTCTTCACCTCATAGCAAGCCATTGATATATTTTTTCTCTAATATGAGTTACTGTCATTTAAAAATACCTATATAAGTAGAAAATAATCCAAAAAAGTTTCTAAGGATGCGCTCCCCTTGGCAATGCTTGGTTAAATGTTTCTGCACATAGAAGAATCTGCCAATGCTTAGCCACAAAGGAGTCAATTAGTAGATCTTCCAACCTCATTTTTTTTTGTTATAAACATTTTAATTACTATATTGTTACTGACATTACCAACAGCAGTATTAAATACTAGAAAATATTATCGGAAATTAAGGAAAAGGATAAAGCAGGTGAGAGAGATAGTTCGCGTAATTGGCTTATTGGTGGCAGTACTTGTGGAGCCATCTATACGTAGAAACAATTACTAAATTCAACACCCACACAATGGGCATCGCATGCACATACATGCTATGCCTGGCAGCTTGGGGTTAATCCGTCCATATATATTGCTGTATTCAGCAATATATCAAACTATAAACATATATAACATAAAATCCTTTTGAGAGTGTATGCTTGTATGTTTATTCAAAATTCCTCTACGAATTTACAACTAACAACAGTCTGTTTAGTGCTCATGTGCAGGAACTTGCTACTGATAAAAAATATAAAATATACCAATAATACTAATCATTTATTATATATTCTAAATATGTATCACCAAAACATAAATGACCTAATGAATGGGATTGGAAACTCCTAAGCTTGTCTTCAGTGATCTTGCAAAACTCCATACACAGACAATTCTATGTGTTGTCAATATCACCATCCCATTTTCTCACTCCCTTTAGAGACCCTCCTCTGCCTGTTGTATTTTCTTGCCTTTTTTCTTGTGAATGAGATTGGTGATTATGAAGTATTGATTCTAATAAAATAAGGTATATTTCATCCAACTCTATTCCTCCCATATTTCCATTCCACATGCTATACTATTAAATATCAGTTACATCAAGGTACATCATCTATTTACTATCTATATATATATATATATATATATATATATATATATATTATATATTATATATATATATATATATATATATATATATATATACTTGTAGATTAATCTAAATACATGTATTATTGCTTTAT